GCGCGCGGCGCCCGAGCCCCAGCCGCCCGTGCGCGCGTGCGCGGAGGGCGCCGCATGTGGAGCGCTCTGATTGGGCACCGCGGCCTGGCGCGGGCTCGCTGATTGGGGGAGGGAGGAGGGCGCTATGAGGCTTGCTCGGCGCGTCCCCGTTGGACGGCGAGGTGGGGCGGCCGTGCCGCCGGGGCCCTGGACGGGAGCGTGGGCTGTCGGGCGGCGCCGCGCTGCCCTCCCGGGACAGAGTTCCTCCCGGCGCCGCCGCGTGCCCGCTTCTCCCGCCGGCTCCCGGCCCTGAACCCACGGCGGTGCGCAGTGTGCTGACCGCGGCCCAGTGCGGGCGGCGAGGGTGGCACGTGGACGCCGAGCGGGAAGGACGCAGGGCGCCTGCGCTGCCGGTCCCCTCCCCGCGGTGACCGTCATCCCGACTGCCAACCCCGGGTCGGTGCGCTGCTGTTTGGCGGTGGAAGGTGTGGGGAAACGCCCGACGCATCCGCTGGCCTGCACCCCGCCCCTCAGCGCCTGCCCTTCCTGCGTCCACCACGCTCCCCCCGCCGTCCTCACCCTCCGGGTTGTTTTCAGGCGGATCCTGGTGTGTCATTTCACCCATAAATGTTGCAATATCTATCTTTAAAAGATAAGGATATGTTTAATACCATTATCACACCTAAAATGATAATCGTTTAAATGTGAAATACCCAGTCAGTGTTCAGATTTCCCTGATACTCTCCTAAGTTTTTGTTAAATGGTTTGGTTGAATCAGGGCCGGTATGAGGTCTGTACAGTGCCGTCCGTTATGTCCCCCCTTCCCTTGCCCGTTTGAAGACCTTTATAGAAACATACGGAAGCAGTTCTAGTGTAGTGAGCCCGCAGGGACTGTCACTACCCTCAGCGCTTACGAGTTCCCTGCAGTCTTGTTTCCTCAAGCCCCTACCCAGTCACCAGACTACTTTTTAACAAATCCTTGTTATCAGATCATTTTATATGTATTTTGACATGTACCTCCAAAAGATAAGGATTTTTTAAAAACATAACTATACTCCCATTCTCGTGTCTAAAAATTAGTAATTCCTTAACATCATTAAATATTCTATTAATGTTCACATTTCCCCAAATGTCTTATAAATTTCTTTTTGATTTACAGTTGGTTGAAATGGGAACCAGATAAAGTCCATACATTGTAATGTGTTGAGATGTCTGTTAAGTATCTTTTAATCTACAAGTTTCTCTCTCTCTCTTGTAATTTATTTGTTGAAGAAAGCAGATCTTTTGTAGTTTCCAACATTCTGGATTTGCTGTTTTCATTCTTGAGGTGGTGTTGAACATGTTCCTCTACCCTCCATATGCCCTATAAAACTGGCGGTTAGAGGAGGGGGCTTGGTCAGGTTCAGGATTTGTTTCTTGTTTTGTTTTTTTCTTTTGGCATGAATCCCTCATAGGAAGTGTTGTTTACTCTTGTCAGGAGGCACAAAGCATTGGGTTGTCCATCTGATGCTAAAGGCCTCATGATCATTACTTAGATCCGTAATACCATTAGGAGCTGCAAAATATTGCTATTTTAATTCTATCATTTGTTCT